AACACTTGTGCTTTTCCACTTGTTGGAAGGGCCCGAGAAGTTGCTATCGATGGTATGTCTGTAAGGTGTATATCAGTTAACTGTGTAAGGTTATTGCTTAAGACAGCAAAGCTTTTTGAAAGAGCTATACTTGTAATATTTATGTACATATACTGTAAGCATGTGATAGAATTCTATAAATATTTCTTTATTAAAGGTGTACCAAGACCCATGTAGACAGCAGATAACCTCCCCTTACATGATTCAGAAGTTGGGAACTACAGTTCATGGAGTTCATTTCTGCCCCTATGAAGATGTCCTTGGGGTGGGGCATGGGGAGGGATTCACAAGTCTCATTATCCCAGGTAAGCTTTTTGACTCTTGTGTATCAAGTGCTTTATGTTATGTCAACATTTTTCTGATTGGAGTAAACTTAACTCAATTAATAGAAGTTCTTGCAAATTATAAGAAATTTTTGTGTTTAATTCAAATTGATGTTGATTACATTTTATTGTATTGGCGGATTGTAGGTGCTGGGGAGGCTAATTTTGATGCCATGGAATCAAATCCTTTCCAGACCAAAAAACAGAGGAGAGAGGCAGAGGTCCAAATGTTGCTGGACAAGGTCAGACTGAAATACTGTTTCAGTATTACATATATATAACAGAATATTCGTGCCTTTTTGCTATGAATTTAACCTTCAGAATTGTATTGAAGGTACATTGTCGTAGACTTGGGAAGAGTCAAGGAAAACTTTATGTAAACAACTAGATATTTTACCTTGACCTTATATTCTTGCTGCATTTTAATGTAAATTTGGTATTATTCAGATACCTGCGGATATGATTCATCTTGACACAAAAATGATAAGTAAAGTGGACAAGAAGACATTTATGGAGAAAGTTGAGGAAAATAACAAGATACATGTAAGTGTTGCAAGCTAAATGTGAAGTAAATTGCTTTGATATATTCCCTTTTTTGTTTCCATGTTTAAATTTTGACATTCACCTTCGTTCAACCGTATGGGAAGTGTCAATCTAAGATTATTTTAGTCAAAACAATCTCCAGTTCAATTTTAAAACCTATGACTCATAATTTTTTTAAAAAATTACTCTTTGAAAGAAAAAAAATAACCAAGTCTTCATAAAATTATTATTTTTACATTGATCCAGTGTCAACCTTATGACAGTGGGTGGTGACTCTAAAAAGGTTTAATTCCCAATAAGAAAGATATCTACAGATGCCTAATATATAAGTCAAGATTAGAAAAAGTGTAAAATAATTTGTTATGATAAAACTGGGTCCAAGATCAAATTGATGCGCCTGACACTGAATCTGTAAAGTATTTGGGTAAGAAAGCAAGCTTAGCAAGAACAATACATACACATGTATGTAGCATTTCATACATGTGTAGAGATGCTAAATCAAAGCTTTTTTCCCCCCTTTTTTCCCATTCAAAACATATGGTCAATATATATCACAAAACTTTTCAGTATGCCACTTTTATATTTTTCCTTAAAATAAAAGAAACATCTGTAGATTTAGAAGTTAATTGCTCAAACATTAAAAGGTCAAGGCTTAGTATTTGTACAGAGCCCGTTTAACTGTCAGACAATTTTTGAAACATACTAAAAATAAATTTACAGTCAAATGTTGTTATCTTAAACTCAATGGGACCAAGAAAAAAAGATGAGATATCTGAGGATTTGAGATATCCAGGGTTAAATACTTAAAGAATAAGGGGTTGCGGCTTCCAAATCACTTCGACATATCCATGGTATTCGAGATATCAGTGTTTGAGATACTGAAGTTCAACTGTATAAGTATGTCATTTATTTAACATTTATGTCATTCATTTTTTTTAGTTCAAGAAACCATTGGCAATATCCTATGAACCAAAACACAGAATGAAAGGTAAAGGGAGTGGAAGAAAGAAGGAACAGAGGAAGAAAGGAGTGATAGAAGAGCATAAGAAAAAGACAGTGAAAGAAATCATCAGAGATAAGCAACAGCAACACATAAAGGATAAGAGACACCAGGCAGGAATTTCTGTCTCTAAAGGTGTTCTGGACAGGTTTAAAAAGACAGAATCATGACAGTGTAGTAAATTCACATTCAGTTAAATGCCTTTGTCAAGTTCATCTGGAGTGATTTATGCAGCAGCCTTTGCACTTGAAGCCCCTGAGAAAAATACTGTATCAAGGTTCTTTTTTGACCTTGTTGTACAATTTGTTATCCTTACTAGGAATCATCTTTGAAATTTGTGTATGATTTGGCATTCTGTATTTGCCCTAAATCAGCCAATTTTACAAAAATTACTTTTTAACTGCGACTTCCTTCATTAATGAAATGCCACAAGGACCAAAAATACAGTTGAAAAGTCCTTGGAAATGTGGTAATTATATTACCAGTGAATAATGATCAATTTCATGTATGCATATTTAGTAGAAGAATAAGTTACCTGTGATGCTGGATTTTGAGATTTTTGGTCATTGAGAATAAATATTTGATTTGTCTAGGAGTTTATGAGTCAAGTTTATTCCTCCTTATGAATTTATGGACAACAACATGGAAAGAAGATTTGTAAATATACCTGGAAATGCACCCACTTTCTTGCATGGTTTAAATGGTTGAATCAGTTATCTTAACCTGTATTTTTACTTTTTAAAAGACAAAACTAAACTTTTCTCATGCCTTTTCCAGTGACAAACAGTTAAGTGTCTTGCTGTTATATTACACATACATTAGTCTGAGAAACTATAGAACTACTGGTACCTTACTTTTCCTTTTACAGACACTTGCCTCAGAATCAATCCTACACTGAAAACTGTTTCATATGTTATGAAAAACACAAATACGTCCACAATAATTATATTTTGAAACAGGCAGACTGCCTCTGAGGATTGTACATTTCTGCATTTTCAAATTCTGGTTAAAAATATAAAGTAGGAACTGTATTTTGAGATCATGTTATGAGAAAATGTTAGAGGAATCTGAACAACCAACGAATAAGATCAATAATTGGGTCTCTAAGATTAAAGATATATTATTTGAAATTGGATTAGCATACATTTGGTCTGAGCAAGATAGAATTAGTTGTAATAACTAAGTTTTGATTATAAGGCAAAGAATCATTGACACTTTTGTACAGAATCTCTTTGCAGATAACAAAAGTTCATCTAGATGAACATTATTGACCACTACACTGCAATATTATTTTGTAAAACCTTTTCTTTGCATTTATAAATGTCAAATTGGAAAGATAAAACTGTCATCACATAATTAAAGTATAAAAAGTAGACGCCATAAAATATCTTACAAACCGAAAATGGGTGAATTTAAAAAAAATGACGGGACACATATTTTTCAATCTACACTAATAATACAATGTGAATAAAAAAAGTTGACTTGGCATTTGTCTTTTGATATTGGCTAAATTACTGCCGAACATCTCATTAATATCTTAAGTCACAAAAATGTTATGCCAAAATATGATGCTAAGAATGTCGGGAGCGCAACACCTTTTCGTGACATTATGAAAATTTACTATTTTTTGAAGATCTATGAAATAAAAAATAATGGTTTATGTTAGAAATAAAGACTTCCCTGATAAAATAAAATGTATTGAGCTTTAAACGTAGACTAGGGTTAACTTTTGTTTGATCAAGTTATGGTCACGGCTGATGCTGAAAAAATTATACCGTGTCAGAAGTGCAACGAAACAAGAGGCCCATGGGCCACAACGCTCACCTGAGTAACTGTGGCTCGTCTTGTTCTTCATCAGCAGAATTTTTTCCTATATATTCCTATGTAAAATTTTTATGGCCCATTGTGGCACCACCCTTCACCCCAGGGGCCATGATTTGAACAAACGTGAATATACACGACACAAAGTGCTTCCAAATAAATATGACTAATCATGGCTTTGCTGTTCTATAGAATAGATTTTTTCCTATATTTACATTATCTGAAGATGCTTCCATATAAGCATGATTTATCATGGCTTTGCTGTTCTAGAGAATAAGACTTAAAAAGATTTTTCCTATTTATAACAATGTAAAACTTTGATCACCCATAGTAGCCCCACCCTTCCCCCCTGGGATCATGATTTGAAAAAATTTGAATCTACACTATGTCAGGAAGCTCTCACATAAATTTCATCTTATCTGTCCCAGTGGTTCTTGAGAATTTTTCTCAATTTTTACTATATTTTAACTATCTCCCTTATATCTTTCCTTGTTTGAACAAATTTGAATCCCCTTTATCCAAAGATACTCTGTTCCAAGTTTTGATGAAATTGGCCCATTGGTTCTGGAGAAGATGAAATTGTAAAAAGTTTACGACGATAACGACAACAATAACGACAGACAACGGATAAATTTTGATCAGAAAAGCCCAATTGAGCCTTCGGCTAAATCGACCTGTTTGTGTTTCAGATCCATATTTCTACGGTCAGGAGTGCAAGATTTATTTAAAGATCCAAGTTAAATGATGAAATGACTCTTCCATTACTTCAACATATACTAATGAGTATTCTTTGATCAATAAGGATCTATTTGAATAATTTAGTACTAAATTATTGGCGGTTTTAATTGTGAAATCTGTCTTTTCAGTTTTATCAATCTAGATGTGTTTTTGTCTCTTCTTTTAGTTTTTTTTTTATGAAATTAAAAACACACACTGAAAAACTGTTATATTTAAAATCAGTTCCACCACATCTTCACCGAAACAACAGAAAACGTTCTGATGTAATTTATGCTTCACAATTCTACCTAAAAGACCCACATGCTCTTTGGCAGGAGTGCAACAAAAATGTTAGAATTATCGATGATCAAATATGAATAAATGTAAAGAAAAAAAAATTCGATGAGTAGAATGTTTATGGTTGACCTCAATAGCTTATAGTGTTTGTCACATGAAGTAAAATGTCTAATAAAATATACTTTTATCTTCTAAATATATTTATAGTTATTTTGTGACATTAATACGGAATAGTTCAAGATGTAAAGCCAAGGTTAAACAATTCTATGCATTATGACCATGAAATATTGGGAAAATAAATATTGCACAATTCTGTTACAACTTGATGTTGACAAAACCTTATGACTTTTTGTGTTCTATGATTTTAATTTAAAATTTTACTGCAGTCAGGAGTGCGACAAAAAGTTTCATAATTATCAATGAACTTCATCTCTACTTCAAAAATGAAGAAAATGTTTGAAACTATTTGTAGTTGAAATCATTATGTCTGTCAACAAATTACAGTTTTTGGACATTTTAAGTCAATTCACAGAATAATCTTTTATCACTAAAAATAAATTTTAGAATATATATATATATATATATATATATATATATATATATATATATATATATATATATATATATATATATATATATATATATATATATATATATATATATATTACATAAGCAAATAATCATATTTTGAAGTCAAGAAAATATGAAAAACTTGCTTTTAATGATGGAAAATATCAACACAACGAACTGCTTTACGAACTTTGAATGAGCTATTGTGTTATTATTTTAAATCATTGTTTGCTATAAAATATATCTGATGTCAGGAGTGCAACACAATAAGGTAAAATATTAAAATCAGTTCAAAATCTAGTATTTTTGTTAGAAAACTTGTATATCGAAATTCTTTTTTGGCTAAGATGTGAAAAATTGACAAAATGGAAAAAATAATTTGGGGGGTATTTATTGTATCATATTTTTTTCGTATTTAAACTTTTCAAACCAGAATTAAGACAATGTAAAAGAACGATCAAAAGTCCGCTTTTTTGGCATATACAAAGAAGAAAAAAATCAAGGTTAGATCTAATCATTCATGGCCCTGACACAAAATTGAAGGATGAAAAATAATTTCTTTTTATTATATGTTTAAGAAAGTCTTTTATGATCATGATGTAGTAATATTTTCTTTTCTTTCAAATGAAGTTTTACAAATAAAACTTCATAGACTTTCTTATACATTTGTCTATTCTATTTTGACAGTCATTTCAGAAATTTTAACTAGAATGTATATACCTTATGATGTTATAACTGAAAAATATGTTACAGTAAGTTGAATTTTTCAAAAACTTTCAATTGGCCAGCCATTAGTTTGAATTCACCCATAGTGAACCGTGAGATCCAAAATTGAAGACGACTTTTGTCCTAAATGTTTACGATATGAGGATTTACGTGTAAAATATATCTAAAACGTTACTAGGAAAAACTATCTATGTTTAAATTTTTAAAATTGTTATTTGCAAACAATGTCAAAGATCTCTGTGATTTGGGAAAGTTTCTGTGCCATGATTTTAAATTACGCAATGAATATCATATTTTCTTACAACAAATTAAAACAACATGTTTTTCATAAACACTGCTGCCCCCCTATGGCAAGCTTATCCCAGATGTGAAAGTTTCTCAAATGCAAGTCAAACTCCAAGGTAATATAAGGTCAAAAGATAAAAAAAATGTTGGTACCCAAAAAAAAGGTCTTGTGAAATATGAAAGCCCTAGCAACAACTGTTCAATAGTTATGATCATGGTCAAAGTTTTTCAAATGTAGGTCAAACCCCAAGGTCAGAGGGTCAAAATTAATGGTACCTATAGCTATTGGAAGTTCTCGTCACAAGGAATACACATTTATAATATGAAAGCCCTAGCTCCAACCATTCAAAATTTATGGCCAGGGTTAATTTTATTTCAAAGGTAAGTCAATCTCCAAGGTCAAGGTCAAAGGGTCATAATTATTGGTACCTTTGGGAGGCCTTGTGACCGGGAATACACATTTGAAATAAGAAAGCCCTAGCACGAATCGTTAAAAACTTAAGGCCAAGGTTAAAGATTTACAAAAGTAGACCAAACTCCAAGGTCAGTGGGTAAAATTTGTTGGTATCCATTAAAAGGTCTTCTGACCAGGAATACACCTGTGAAATATGAAAGCCTAAGCGCTAACCATTCAAAACTCATGGCCAAGGTTAAATGTTTTTAAAAGTGGGTAAAACTCCAAGATCAAGGTCAAAAATATTCTTACCCAAGAGCTTATATATTTTGGTACCCAAAGAAATGTCTTCTAACGAGAAATACATATTAGAAATATCAAAGCAATAGCTCCAACAATTCAAAAGTAAAGGTCAAAGTTAAAGTTTTTGCAGACAAACAGACGGACGGATGTCCCCGAAACTTCTATTACATGGGCATGAAATGTTTGTTCATTCTCCACTGTGAATTGCCGATTGTAATTATTGAGCTATCTGTACCAAAATCTCCTGCGTTATACCTTACTATTTATCTCTTATTACTCGTAATTTATATTCGTATACAACTAGTTGAAATGTATGGAGATAACGAACAGTATTCAATAAAATTAAATATGTCTTTTCTAATTAAGTGGAATGACACTATACACAAAGCCCATCAATTACACAAAAGGCCCACCTCTTTATTTTTTTGAAAACAACTGAAAAATTATTAACAGAACATTTCATAAAGATTTTTTTTCGTAAA